TCTCATTTAACACAGTCAAATACAGTATGTTAATAAACCCTATACAAATCCGGCATTCTTCTAATAACACTTAATTGTTGAATAATTTGGCATGGATTATTATTACATTTTTGATTAATAATATATTGTAACTAAATCAGGTATAGAGTGGGAATCATTGTAAATGTATAAAAAGTAATTCATTATTGTCATAAATTTATAAGTCATCTTTGAATTAATAATCAATATCAGATATGTGAAAAATTGAGACATTACACCAGTATAACGACTTAATTATGATATCCATTTATTGTTTTTGAATGCCGCAAGAATAATTTCTAGAAACAGAATTACAGCTTTTTGCTTTGCAGCGCTCATTTTTTAACAATCGACATTCGATAATAAACCAACTATAACTAAATACTATATGTTACTGAATAATGAGTAAGTCTTTTTTAATATTGTCAGAGTAGTAAATTAATTTTTAGTGAGTTAATGGTGAATTAAACGTTTAACAATTTCATTTCACAGACAATTATTTCACCGGTGATACGGATGAAAATTCGGGTGAAAGTTAACAAATTATTGACAAATATTATTTTACATGAACATGCTTTTTGAACTTTGCCGAGTGATCGTGCTGGTCCTGCGCCGCTCACACGCTGCGCAGTTACCCTAATAAATAAATTAATAAGTAATTCTGAGTTCTAATTTTTACTAAATTTTGACGACCCCTTCCATTTGCCGCTGGGGTGATCAATCATTCTGCGTAACAAATAAGCACTGACTAAAAATATATTTATATAAACAAATTAGCCGGTACTTATTTGTCACACACAATGATTGATCACATCCCAGCGCTTAAGTTTCATAGTGTTGCATTAAGAACTGACCCAAGTTATTCTAAATTGTTGGAATTTAAGAATGAAGTAGGTCAATTCAAAATCGACCTAAATTGTGAAACGATGTCGAACATATGCATATATACTGTTATATAGGTTTAAAAAATAAAAAACAGTTAGATGCCTTACAATGCTACTTAGATTATCCTGAAGTAACTCCTGATCTCGATCCAAATAATGTAAATTATGATTATCTTGCCGATGCAATTTTTAGATTTATTTTTGCTGCTATGGGAACTACGTCTGGTGGTGCCATCAGTGCTTTATATGGTTTATCCAATTTTATTTTTATCATAAAATAGTTTAATTCTATCTTATGTTTTATTGAGAATTAGATTTTCTTAAAGAAAAAGAACGATATTGGCAAGAATTATATCAGGATGCTCAAAAAATTAATAAACAATGTAATGAAAATGAACTTACATTTGATGATATTACCAAAATGGTGAATTTAGATTGTTTTGTTAAAGAATCTTTAAGATTTTCTAATCCTATAGTTGGTGGTAATCTTTGTTTTTTTTTTTTTTTGATTGCTATTCTCTTGATTTCAAGCCATAACAATTCTCAAATTTTTTTTCCTAATTAATTAAAATCATAGGTCTCATAGTTAGCTTAACTTCAATGAAACAATAATGACGAAGAACTTAGGTCGTCAAATGTTAGTCTGGTGTTTGAGAATAGAAAAAAATTGTAACTTAAAAGTTAAATCATTGTTAACTAAATTATTATAATAATAAAATTATTTAATTATTTTAATTATACAACTTATTTAATTATCTTATTGTGCAATTATTATTTAACAATCATAGTATAAGTTAATTATTTATAAGAAATGCTTATTTATCATTTTTTAGAAGCATTTAAATAAAGTATTCAATTTATGAATAATTATTATATATTTAATTTCATTTACTTTACAGCACTTAGTAAATTAGTCTATTTTAATTTATTCTATTCACATTAATTTAAAGAATATTTAATCTAGATATTTATAATATTTATAGTAAATTATTCGAGCTATGTCAAGGAACTGGAGTTGGGAAATCACACATTGGGAACAATTATAGTTGAGAAAATAAGTGCTACTGTCAAAAATGTGATGATATTGCATACATTATTGTTCATGACATAGGCTTTCACAAACAACTCTCTTGATATTACTTGTTGGCGAATGATTAATTCATTATACAAAATGCAGATTATAAATTTTGGTCAGAGTAACTAGATAATAAAAAATGGTTTTTATATCAGGTTTTCGACTAAAGTGATTAATTTTATTAGCTATAGAGAGAGAGGAACTTGAGAACAAGGTAATATCATACAAAATGAAATGATTTTCGATCTTCTTTTAATTAAAATATTATACAAATAATTTGATAAGAACTGCAAAATAAATGCCAAATAATTTCTTGTAAGCATTAATACAAAGCTCTATCTATTTTTCTAAAAGATTTAACATGAAATTGGAGAAACTACACTAGAACTGATATGTAATGTGCCAGTGCAATACAATACAGCATACACATTTCTAACTACTTTTAAACAATTCAAGCGCCTAGTTATAAAAAAAAAATCAATAATAAAAAAATAAATAAAAAATTAAGAATGACCAATTAAGTGTTATTAGAAGAATGCCGGATTTGTATAGGGTTTATTAACATACTGTATTTGACTGTGTTAAATGAGA